ATTAAGCACCTTCTTAAGGTGAAATAAAGGAAGCAATTGAAGAGATGAGTTTGATGACATAAAACAACAACAAAAAAAAAAGAGAAATTGATTGATCAAGGTTGAGAAAGGAGAGTTCCAGACCTGGAGTGTAAGAACTGGTCTTGGAACAAGCAGAGGAACATAGAGCATGAGGGTAGATTTCAGAAGAATTTGGGGGTTTGCAAAAGAAGATACTTTTGTATATGAAAGGGCATAAAAATTTGAGTTGGATCATTTTATCCAGCACTTTTAGAATGGTAAGGTTGGTTGCTCCACTTTTGCAGCTATTACAATGTAGGACAGAAGGAGTGTAACAGCTTGCCCAAGATCACAGAACTAGGTATTAAATGAAGAAAAAAGACACACACACACACACAAAATTGCCTCCTGTCTTCTACTATAGGGCTCAAAAGTAGCTTGACAATGAATCTATCAAAATTGGATTCACTTATTTCAAAAACTAACAAGTACAATTTACATGTAAACTGTATGTTAAACATATTCTCTCTCTCTTTTTTTTTTTTTTCCCCCAAACATACAATGTTGATACATATCTCTGAAGGCAGCAGACTGCATTGATGTATCTTTTTGGTAGACAGGCAACTTTGGGCCACTTTCTTGATTTTCTTTTAATTCTCAAGACTTATTTCGAAGGTAGGTTTTGGAAACATCTCTCCAAATTCATTTGAATCACAGAATTGGATTCAAGATCTATTGATAAAGCCACCAATGTAAAGTTCCAAAAGCTGTATCATGAAGATAAAAAAGTTCTCCTCTAAGTATTATATTGCCAGATTTCATGTCAGAAACTCATTTATCCTGCATTTAACAAATACTTCTAAAATGCCTATCACACACTGTACTCTAGCTGCACAAACAGAATGAGAATAAGCAACATGCTTAAAGTAACAGTCTTTCTAATTTAATAATAAAAACTGAAATAACATAAACCATGTTACTTGTTTTCCTGAAAATTAAGTTGCAGCATCAATTTTTTGATATCTTTTTGACAAGATATCTCTTTGACATGTGGGTAGACTTAAATCCAATATTCATCAATATCAAGCTATTGCTTTTAGAAGGCATTATCAAATAATTGCTTTCTCCATTTACAGATATTTACATTTTTCAAGTTCAAGGGTTGAAAATGTATATTATTTGATATAATAAGCCACAATGTCAATTTGATTGTCATGTTATTACTTGTTAGGTGCCGTTGAGTTGGTGCCAATTCATAGCAACTCTATGTATAACAAAATGAAACACTGTGCAGTCTTGTGCCAGCCTCAACATCCTTTCTATATCTAAGCCCATTGTTGCAGCCACTGTGTCGATCCATCTTGTTGAGGGCCTTCGTCTTTTTTACTGACCCTCCACTTTACCAAGCATGATATCCTTCTTCATGAAATGGTTCCCTCTGACAACATGACCAAAGTAAGTTAGACAAAGTCTGGCCATTCTTGCAACCAAGGAGCATTCCAACTGCACTCTTTCACCTTGAGAAATGCCGACCATGTTCTTTCCTTTTGGTTTTCTAACTCCATCCAGGTATTTAAACATTTCATTATAACAATAGACTTTGTCTTCTCGAGCTACTCTTTGAAATCTTCTGTTCAGCCCTTTTATCTTGTCATTTCTTCCATTTGCTTTAGTGACTCTCCATTCAAGAGCAAGTTTCAGAGTTTCTTCTGACATCCATTTTTGTCTTTTCTTCCTTTTCTGTCTTTTTAATGACTTTTTGCTTTCTTCATGAATGGTGTTCTTGATGTCATCCCACAATTTCTCTGGTTTTTGGTTGTTGTTGTTGTTGTTATTTGCCATCGAGTCGACCCCGATTCATAGCGACCCCTCCTTGGGTTTCCGAGGCAGTATCACTACGGAAGTAGGATTGCCCAACCTTCCTTCCGAGGAGTGGCTGGTGGGTTTTTGGTTACTAGTGCTCAACACATCAAATCTATTCTTTAGATGGTCTCTAAATTCAGGAGGGATATAATCAAGGTCATACTTAGGCTCTCATGGACTTGTTTTAATTGTCTTCAGCTTCAACTTGAACTTGCATATGAGCAACTGATGGTCTGTTCGACAGTCTCCTCCTGGCCGTGTTTTGGCTAAAGATATTGAGGTTCTCCATCGCCTCTTCCCACAGATGTAGTCGATCTGATTCTTATGTATTCCATCTGCTGAAGTCCATTTGTACAGCCATCCTTTATGTTGTTGATAAAAGGTATTTTCAATGAATAATTCATTTGCCTTGCAAAATTCTATCATGCCATCTCCAGAGTTATCTCTATCACCAAGGCCACATTTTCCAAGTACTGGTAAATCTTCTTTGTTTACAACTTTTGCATTCCAATTACCAGCGATAATCAACACATCTTGATTGCATGTTTGGTCAATTTCAGACTTCAGAAGTTGATAAAAATCTTTCATTTCCTCATCTTTGGCTTTGGTGTTTGGTGTGTAAATTCAAATAACAGTACTATTAACTCGTCTTCCTTGTATCCATATGGATATTATCTTATCACTGACAGCATTGTACTTCAGGATAGATCTTAAAACATTTTTTTTGATGATGAATGCCATGCCATTCCTCTTCAATTTGTCATTCCTGGCATAGTAGATCATATGGTTGTCTGTTTCAAAATGGCCAAAACCAGTCTATTTTAACTCACTAATGCCTAGGATATCAATCTTTATGCATTCCATTTCATTTCTGACAACTTCTAATTTTCCTATATTCATATTTGTACATTCCATATTCCAATTATTAATGGATGTTTGAAGCTATTTCTTCCCATTTTGAGTTGTGCCACATCAGCAAATGGAGGTCCCAAAAGCTTTACCCCATCCACTTCATTAAGGTTGGCTCTACTCTGAGAGGCCAGCTCTTTCCCAGCTGTATTTTGAGTTCCTTCTGACCTGAGGGGCTCATCTTCCAGCACTAAATTGGACAAAGTTTCATGGTTATTTATAAAGTTTTCCAGTAACATGTCAGACAGCATTTCACTGCTATTCATAAAGTTTTTGCTTGCCAGTTCTTTGAAAAGTGGATGGCCCCTGCCTTCTTCCAAGTGTGTCTTATTCTGGAAGCTCCACTGAAATCAGTCCACCACGGGTAACCCTGCTGGCATTTGAAATACCTGGCATAGCCTCCAGCCCCACAGCAACACACAAGTCAACACAGTAGGACAAACTGACAGAAAAGTGGTAGTTGACTGGCGTATCAGAGCATAAAAAAAAAATCAGTATATTTATATTTGGGGCATTTATATCACAAAAGCATTGTAATTAATTTTCTGTGATATATTTACACAGAAATAATGATCATTTTATCTTTAAAAAAATGTAAAAATGAAAGTTCAGGTGTAACCAATATACCTTAAAAGACATACTTGCATAATCAGCAATGAAAAAGCAATGTATTATATGTAACATGAAAATGTAAATCAACATTGAAATGTAATGGAAATTCTGAAATAGCCTAGAAAACTAATTAGAAAATATTCTGCGTAGGAAATTGATCATATTGCCCTACATGTTTACTGTTGACATTAGGAGACAAAATGCTATAATTTAGCTTAAATTATTTATAGCTTATAAATTAGCTTATAAATTTTTTAATAACACTTTTATTATAACTTCTATAGCTTAGCATAGTGGCTAAAGCACTTGACTGCTAACCAGAAGGCTGGCGGTTCAAACCCACCAG